TGTGATTTTTCATTTATTTGAGACATTAAATAGACATCAATTTAAATTCCCACCCAGCAAAGAGATTTGTATTTCATCAATTTTTTTTTAATACAAAAAAGCCAGTCTTATTAAGTGATAAAAATACCACACATTCACCAAAACTTGAAGGTAGATGTATCTTTCATTTTTGGAGGAAATGCTATATATTACAACAGCTTTATATATTGGTTTTGCTTTTCATAGTGATTTTACAGCCAGCTCTGAGAAGTGAATGAGAGATAATTTTATTTACCAGCGCTAACTGAAGCAGATACTTGTGAAACCAGCAGGGAGGGCGGGGGTGAATCATTTCCAACTCAACAGGTTAATTTTAGAGATCTGAGAGATATTTTTGTCTCATTGCAGTGGAAGAGCAACCATCACTAAAAACATCTACTTACATGATTTCTTTCAACAAAGTTTATTCATCCCCTCCCCCACTTGCAACTAACAAGCAACTGGCGTCTCTCTGAATGGCATATCACATTCAGGTATAATAATAATAGAATCCACTTCTGTAGGGTGTGTGCGCAGTAACTCATCATCGCCTTGCAATAACTCTATGAGAAGGCACTGATATCCTCATCACCACCAGCAGCAGGTTTTACATTCAAGGAAACCACTGCAAAGAGAGCTTAAACAGCTTGTCTGAGGCTACCATTTAGGAAGTGGCAGAGCTGGATTCAGACCCGCAGGCTGCCCCAGAGTCCTGTGCTTCAATCTGCCACACCCAACTGACATTCAAGAGGTAACAAGTGTCAGTTCAAATGTTTTTTGAATTACTGCCCACTTTAGGATGGAGCTTAGACAGGCTTCCCCCACCCCGCTAGCGGGAGAATTCTTTAAAAACCATGATGCATTTCAAGTATATAGACAACACAGAAAAATATAACAAACTCTACTTGTGTGGCCATCCTGCTGATGGAACAAATATTAATATTTTGTCCTCAGAGACAGTGACGTGAAGTTCTCAACACACTCTTTCTATGTCTCCAGATCTAACCGCACTTGGGAAGTCAATGTGTTTTTGTCTCATCTTTGTTTTTATACTCCTGCCTCATGAGTACGCATGCATAGACACTGTATTGCCTAGAGTGTTTTTTAAACTTCAGATAAAGGTGCCATACTACATGGTCTTCTGCAACTCTTCATTCAACATGGTGCTTTCAAGATTTACCTAATTGAGTCATTCAGTTGCTTTTATGTATACACTATATACCTATGTTTCCTGTTGAAGGACAATTCTTTCCACTTTCTGCAAGCAAAAAAGTCCACAGATGTTATCTCTTTGTGCACACACACAACAGTCTCCCAGGTTCTACACCTAGAACTCAATTGCCAAGTCCTCTACAGAGACTGTCAGTTGCTTTCCAGTGAAATTGTACTAATTTTCACTCACAGCAGTAGTGTATGAGTTCCTGTAGTTCCACTTCCTCATCAACACTTCAAATAGTCCACTTTAAATAATCTACCTTTTAATTTTTTGCCAATCTGATAGGTAGAAAATGGTATCTTGTTTTAATACACATTTATCTGATTGCTAGTGAGATTCAATATATTTTTGTGTATATTGAGCATTTAGGTTTTTTATCTGTGAATTGCTTGTTTATATAATTTACTCATCTACCCCCCATGTCCCATTGGACTGTATGTCTTTTTCTGGCTAATCTGTAGGAGCTATTAATATATTATGGATTCTAATCCTCAGCTCATCAAACAAGTTTCAATGATCTCCTCTCAGTCTATAGCATTAACTTTTAACTTTATTATGGTGTCTTTAGTTGTACAGCAATTAAAAATTTTAACATAGTCAAATTTATCAATGTTTTCCTTTATGGTTATTGGCTTTTGTATCTCATGTTGAAAAATGCTTTCCTGCTTGAAGTGATAAATGAGTCTCGTATATTTCCCAAAAGTTTTAAAGTTTTGCTTTTCACATTTAGATCTTAATCCATCTGGAATTTATTTGTGCATATTGTATGAGGTATCTTTTTCCCCTCCCAATTTATTCAATTTATTGAATAGTTCATCCTTCTGCTAATGACCTGTTAGGCAAGCTTTTTCTTATCAAGTTTCCATAGCACATGGGCCTGAGTTTTTTATTCTGTCCCATTGATGAGTTATGAAGTTTCCCCCAACCCCCCATTTTATTCTTCTTAGGAATTGTCTTGACTATTCTTGCCTTTAACTCTTCCATATGAATTTTAGGATCATTTGGCCAAATGCTATGAACACCATATATTAATCTCAGGTAAATTGGTATTATGATATTAGGCTTCCCATCCATTAACACGATATATCTCTCCATTTAGTCAGATCTTCTTCTGTGACTTCAATAATGTTTTATTGTCATCTCCATAAAGCTCTTACATCTTTCATTAGATTTACTTCTAGGTACCATATAGTTTGAGTTGCTACTATAATTCTTTTTCTATCATAGTTTCTAAATGATTATTAATGATAATAGGAACCCAACTGATTCCTATATACTTATCTCCAGTTGAGAAATTTTGCTGAATTCTGTTATTAGTTCTAACAGATTTTATGTAACATCTCTTTGATTTTTTTCATGTGGACAGCTACACTGCCTGCACAGAATGATTGTTTTCTTCTACCTCCTATTTCTTCTTCTTGCCTTATTGCACGGGTGAGAATCTCCAGTATAATGTTGAAGAATAAGGATGTTATTTGGCGTCCCTGTCTTGTTCCAGACTTTAACAGAATTGTCTCTAAAATTTCCCTACCATATAAATTGTCTGCTGTAGGTTTTTTTAAATCAAGTTAAGGAATCTTCCTTCTGTTACTATTTTGCTAAGCTTTTGTTTGTTTGAAGATAGAAATTTTATGTGTACCTAATTTTATCAAGCACTTCCTATGTACGTATTGAGACTCTCATATGGTTTACTGTTTTTAATATGTGAATTTAACCAATTATTAAGACTTTTTGATTTAAATTATTGCTTTCCAAGGATAAGCCTTTCCTGGTCATAATGCATACATTATTTAATATATTGAAGAATTCTATTAGTAAATATTGTATTAGCATTTTATAAATATGCTCAAAGGTAACATTGGTCTATAGCTTTTTCCTAGGAAGGTTCTTGTCTGATTTTAATGTCAGAGTAAACTATCCTCATAAAATGGATTGGGTAGCTTTTTCTTTCTATTCTCTGAGACTGTATAAGACAAAGATTAACTATTTTTTGAATGTTTAGCAAAACTTGCCTATAAAGTCATGTAAAGTGGCTTGTGTATTTTGAGAGTGGGAAGGAGTGACCTCTTTAATATTTATTCATGTATAGAAGAGCATAACCCCCTAAAACAACAGATACTTAAAACTTTTTATTTAATAACTATTTTAAGCTCTCCAGATTTTTCTTTCCTTTTCCTAGAGTGTCCACAAAGTAGGCAGTCACTCTAAATGGTAGATCACTCTCAGGAATAAAGTGATAAACACCATCCACTGGCATAATTTTCAATATTATTCTCCTTGTTTTATTGTAAGAGGGGACACTGAGGAGCTAATTCTCAAAATATGTTCTGTCTTTAATGATTATTTTATAAAAAATGACATATGAGCACTGAGAAAAGTCAGAACAGACAGATAAGCTAAAGGAAGAAAATGAGTCCCCCACATTCCCACTGTGCATCTTCCTAACATTCTCCCAGACATATGCACTTTAATATTGACAAGCATGGGATCTATGAACACTATTTTCTAATATGCATTTTCGATCCACACTCTGAGGATATCTTTCATGTCAATAAATGTACTACATAATCATTTTTTGGTGACAGCATGTGCCACCATTTCCTATAACAGTCCTCTCTTGATAGATTTTTACTGTTTCCAGTGTTTGCTATAAAGGGTCTGCAGAAAATAACCAATAACCCAGCACCAGGCTACATGATGGAGGAAGTGTGTCTAAAGATATCTATTGGTACATAGCAGGATTCCCTTTTAATGCTTCTTCATAAGCTGGAAGATGGCAGGTGACAATGAGAGGAAGCCCCACAGACAGTCCCCCAACTCTGCCCACCCAGAGGCCTGTTCATCTATTGTCATTCAGAGGACATGCTGAAATCAGAAGCCAACTGGTGGCTCACCCCTTCACAAGGATGGCTCCACCCTCACCCAGCTGGCTGCAGAGAGGCAGATGAGAAAAACAAACAAAATATGGCCTGAGACTGAGTATTTAAGCCTAAAGGGCTGAAGCTCTTGCAAGGTGCTGTACTGGGATTAATACACTAACATGTTAACCCTCAGCTTAGCAAGCTTAAAAAAAAGAAGGATAATTGGTTACCAGAAATTAAGTACCAGAAATCAAGTTGGCTCTCCCTGTAGGTGGTACCCTGCCCCTGGCTGCCCTTGCCCTCTGTGCCTGTAGCTGCATCCAGTGGACTTGCCCAGGTGGAAGAGGCACAGTGACAGATTGTCTGTTCCAGCTGAAGGCCTCCTCCTGCAGAAGCCCCTGGCCATGCCTCATGTCTTTCCACGAAGGGTGGGCCTCACACCCAACTATGGCGCAGTCCTTTTCCCATGCTGCACTGCGGTTGGTGCTGAGTTCTTATAGGACTGATGTTCAGAGGTCCTATGCATCCTCACAACTAGGGGCAGTGTCCACCATACAGATATTGTTCACTAAATGCCAGTTAAATGAATGATTGAATGAATGATTTAGTGTGTTATTTCTCATTGTTTGAGGCCCAGATGCTCTTGTTCAGGACACACACTGGAATGAAGTGCCTATTTACAAAGTGCAGGCTGAACCAAATGCATTCAAAAGCCTTCTGAACTCTGCACAAGGTCTACCCCTTGCCTTTCCCACAGAGCTGCCTACTTGCACCCCTACAAGCAGCATCAGGGGTGCCAGCTACATCAACCCCGCCCTCAGCATTCAGTTCCAGCAGGAACCCTCTCTCCATGCAGGAGCACCCATCCCTCCTGCCACCCCCAGAACCTCCCCATTCACGCTCACCAGCTATTTTAATACTCAGGAGCTGTTGGAGATCAGAATAGCTCAGGCCACGTCTGCCTCCCTGGGTGATCCTCTCTTCCTGCTGGCAGCTCCCAAACTCTTCACCACTGCAGGTGCTCAAACACCCAGGCTCAAGCCACCAGACTGCTAACAAGGGCATTGGTAGGACGCTGCACTCAGAGCTGTGGAAGGATGCCAACTTGGTAATATGTGAGATTAGTAAATAGACTGATGTAATATAAATGTCAATCTTTGGAATTCTTCAATTTTTGGAGTGTAGAAATAAAACCTGAAACGTTAAAAAAAAAAGCGGGCAATAAAATGGAACAAACTGCAGTCTATATTGGGAAAAACAAACAAAATATGGCCTGAGATAGTGGGTATTTAAATCTGAAGGGCTGAAGCTCTTGGAAGGTGCTATATTGGGATTAATACACTAACATGTTAACCCTCAGCTTAGCAAGCTTTACAAAAAGAAGGATAATGGGTTAGCTAAGCTAGAGAGGTGGGAACACATGAGGGAGAAGAGACCAGAAGGCACTTCTGGATGGGAGACGATTTGGCAGACAGCACCATGCCTTGCTCAATGTTCTACTTAATTTTTTTTTTAGTGAAATATAACTTTTGTATAACGTGTTTGGATTTTAGTCAATTTGAAAGTAGAACAGCAGGAAAGATGCACATGTAATAAATACTTAAAACAGCCTTACGTACATTCTCTAGTAATTGTTATTTTGTTCATGGATTTGAGATCTGAGACATGAGCCAAACCACATTTTGGATATCCACTGGTGCCATGGCCACTGTATGGCCCAGGGAATGACAGCGTTGGGGGTTTTAGTATGCAGATGAGAGGTGGGATGGCAGCTTTTCGCTCATTTGCAAGATCCTGTGAGGTTGGACTCCTAAGCTTGCTGGGACCCTGACTCTGAGGAGCCACCCTGAGCTGGGGGTGTCCCACTGGTACCGTGGAAGAGGGAGAGCCCAGTGAGCAGGGGGCACTTGCCTTCTTGGAAGGCCCTCATAAATGTGCCTCTCTGAGGCTCCCTTTCTAGATTAAACTTTCTTCATATTTGTCTCAAAAGCAATAAGCACCTCCAAATAAAATTATTTATACTTCATGGTTATATAAGACAGTACAGGAGGTTTCACCGTTTCAGATCAACTCACTGGGTTTAGTCACTCCAGGATGCTGACAATAGGTGTCCTGTGGGGTCAGGATGCTAGTGCTATGGCCATGAGTCACTCCCCCAGGACAGGGAAAACCCTGTATGGAAAATCGGATAGCCGACTGTGGGCCTGCCTATAGCCACTGAGCTGCAGCAGGGCCCCCCGGCCTGCCCCTGCTGTCCACCCCCGCCACCATGCACTCACTGTGTGCAGTGGGCCCAAGCCTTCCTGGCTTCTCCATCTATTAAATGAGGGAGCTGGACCATGATTGTGATCATTTGTTTTACATTCTCAATTTAATAGTACCTTCTTCAGAATCAGAAATTGAAGTTTTAAATCCAATAACAGCACTGGGTGTACATGAGATGTGAGCCAATGCCTGTGGGACCGATTATCAGCTTTCCTTTTCACACTGAAACCGAGCCCTCTCCCGGCTCTGCAACTGCTGTGCTTCAGCAGTGGAAGGCCTGCTTTTCCCTCCCCTGGAGAAGCCCAGGGAATGCCCTTGGAGCCTCCAGCCTTCCAGCTCTCTGGCTTCTCTCTAAAATGCCTTCCCCTCCCCCAGTATCTTGGGATCCTTGACTCAAGCCTCAGCCTGTGCTCACCGGAGAGCAGGTGGTCAGCAGGCTCCACCTAAGGCCTCTCACAGTGCTGGCCTCAGTGCCCACAAACCAGGCTGCAGACTGCCAGCCCCCACTGGCCACCCTGTGCTGACACAGCTGCGTATGGGAGTTGTGTCCAAAGCCCCAGAGCCAGTTCTTCCCACTAGGCCTCCCATCCCTGTCATTCCGACGCTGCCCAAAGAGAAAGTGTCACCCATTTTGCCCTTGTGCATCTTTCCCCCAGATCCAACCCCCCTGCTGCCCTCCCTCCCACCCCTCCCCTGAAGCCTCCCTTTATCCAGGACAAACTCCCCGTGTGGGGCTTATTCAAGGACCTTTCACCTGGCTTCACTGGTTTGTTTCAGGAGAGGGAGACCTGGACTGTGTTCATCATGATACACCTGGCACATGGGAGAAGCTCAATAGTAAATACTGATCTCAAAATTCAATAGTGACTGGTTGGCCCAGAAAATGATGTCATGAGGGAAGACAAAGTCCAAACTCTTTCTCCTGGAATGCTGGGTCACTGAACGGTGCTCCGTCTTCTGCTCACCTCTTCAGCTTCATCCTCTACATAAACCCTTGAGCTCCCACTTCCAGGTCACACGCAGATGTCACCTGTACCTGGCTTTATCATGCCTGGGTCCCCTCTGTGCCTCTGAATATTCTGTTCCCCTGTGCTTGGACATCTGCTCCTCCCTTACCCCACCTCCCCCAATTCCTATTCAACCTCCAGGGCTCCAGTGAAAGATTTCTGACCTCTGAGCACTTTTCTCTGCAATCACCTTTCCCTCTAGTATATTCTTATCAGCTGGAATGAGTGACTTTATATCTCACCAGTCTGTGAAGTCTTTGAGGGCAGGAATCATGATGTATTCATCTGGCCAGCTCCAGCCAGGAAAGAAACACAGAATGTGCATTGCTTGAATGAATGGCTATCAGTCTTGACATTTTATTGAAATGCATTCACACTCATGTCAGGAACAATAAATGACAATCAGAGCTAATGTGGCCCTGGGACCCTCCACCTAGGGGCCTGAGGCCACCACCACCGGGCATGGTCACCAGGACGTTACTCCTCGGGATGATCATTCACTCTTCTTTTTAATTTTGTTACTATGGTAGATCACTCTCAGGAATAAAGTGATAAACACCATCCACTGGCATAATTTTCAATATTATTCTCCTTGTTTTATTGTAAGAGGGGACACTGAGGAGCTAATTCTCAAAATATGTTCTGTCTTTAATGATTATTTTATAAAAAATGACATATGAGCACTGAGAAAAGTCAGAACAGACAGATAAGCTAAAGGAAGAAAATGAGTCCCCCACATTCCCACTGTGCATCTTCCTAACATTCTCCCAGACATATGCACTTTAATATTGACAAGCATGGGATCTATGAACACTATTTTCTAATATGCATTTTCGATCCACACTCTGAGGATATCTTTCATGTCAATAAATGTACTACATAATCATTTTTTGGTGACAGCATGTGCCACCATTTCCTATAACAGTCCTCTCTTGATAGATTTTTACTGTTTCCAGTGTTTGCTATAAAGGGTCTGCAGAAAATAACCAATAACCCAGCACCAGGCTACATGATGGAGGAAGTGTGTCTAAAGATATCTATTGGTACATAGCAGGATTCCCTTTTAATGCTTCTTCATAAGCTGGAAGATGGCAGGTGACAATGAGAGGAAGCCCCACAGACAGTCCCCCAACTCTGCCCACCCAGAGGCCTGTTCATCTATTGTCATTCAGAGGACATGCTGAAATCAGAAGCCAACTGGTGGCTCACCCCTTCACAAGGATGGCTCCACCCTCACCCAGCTGGCTGCAGAGAGGCAGATGAGAAAAACAAACAAAATATGGCCTGAGACTGAGTATTTAAGCCTAAAGGGCTGAAGCTCTTGCAAGGTGCTGTACTGGGATTAATACACTAACATGTTAACCCTCAGCTTAGCAAGCTTAAAAAAAAGAAGGATAATTGGTTACCAGAAATTAAGTACCAGAAATCAAGTTGGCTCTCCCTGTAGGTGGTACCCTGCCCCTGGCTGCCCTTGCCCTCTGTGCCTGTAGCTGCATCCAGTGGACTTGCCCAGGTGGAAGAGGCACAGTGACAGATTGTCTGTTCCAGCTGAAGGCCTCCTCCTGCAGAAGCCCCTGGCCATGCCTCATGTCTTTCCACGAAGGGTGGGCCTCACACCCAACTATGGCGCAGTCCTTTTCCCATGCTGCACTGCGGTTGGTGCTGAGTTCTTATAGGACTGATGTTCAGAGGTCCTATGCATCCTCACAACTAGGGGCAGTGTCCACCATACAGATATTGTTCACTAAATGCCAGTTAAATGAATGATTGAATGAATGATTTAGTGTGTTATTTCTCATTGTTTGAGGCCCAGATGCTCTTGTTCAGGACACACACTGGAATGAAGTGCCTATTTACAAAGTGCAGGCTGAACCAAATGCATTCAAAAGCCTTCTGAACTCTGCACAAGGTCTACCCCTTGCCTTTCCCACAGAGCTGCCTACTTGCACCCCTACAAGCAGCATCAGGGGTGCCAGCTACATCAACCCCGCCCTCAGCATTCAGTTCCAGCAGGAACCCTCTCTCCATGCAGGAGCACCCATCCCTCCTGCCACCCCCAGAACCTCCCCATTCACGCTCACCAGCTATTTTAATACTCAGGAGCTGTTGGAGATCAGAATAGCTCAGGCCACGTCTGCCTCCCTGGGTGATCCTCTCTTCCTGCTGGCAGCTCCCAAACTCTTCACCACTGCAGGTGCTCAAACACCCAGGCTCAAGCCACCAGACTGCTAACAAGGGCATTGGTAGGACGCTGCACTCAGAGCTGTGGAAGGATGCCAACTTGGTAATATGTGAGATTAGTAAATAGACTGATGTAATATAAATGTCAATCTTTGGAATTCTTCAATTTTTGGAGTGTAGAAATAAAACCTGAAACGTTAAAAAAAAAAGCGGGCAATAAAATGGAACAAACTGCAGTCTATATTGGGAAAAACAAACAAAATATGGCCTGAGATAGTGGGTATTTAAATCTGAAGGGCTGAAGCTCTTGGAAGGTGCTATATTGGGATTAATACACTAACATGTTAACCCTCAGCTTAGCAAGCTTTACAAAAAGAAGGATAATGGGTTAGCTAAGCTAGAGAGGTGGGAACACATGAGGGAGAAGAGACCAGAAGGCACTTCTGGATGGGAGACGATTTGGCAGACAGCACCATGCCTTGCTCAATGTTCTACTTAATTTTTTTTTTAGTGAAATATAACTTTTGTATAACGTGTTTGGATTTTAGTCAATTTGAAAGTAGAACAGCAGGAAAGATGCACATGTAATAAATACTTAAAACAGCCTTACGTACATTCTCTAGTAATTGTTATTTTGTTCATGGATTTGAGATCTGAGACATGAGCCAAACCACATTTTGGATATCCACTGGTGCCATGGCCACTGTATGGCCCAGGGAATGACAGCGTTGGGGGTTTTAGTATGCAGATGAGAGGTGGGATGGCAGCTTTTCGCTCATTTGCAAGATCCTGTGAGGTTGGACTCCTAAGCTTGCTGGGACCCTGACTCTGAGGAGCCACCCTGAGCTGGGGGTGTCCCACTGGTACCGTGGAAGAGGGAGAGCCCAGTGAGCAGGGGGCACTTGCCTTCTTGGAAGGCCCTCATAAATGTGCCTCTCTGAGGCTCCCTTTCTAGATTAAACTTTCTTCATATTTGTCTCAAAAGCAATAAGCACCTCCAAATAAAATTATTTATACTTCATGGTTATATAAGACAGTACAGGAGGTTTCACCGTTTCAGATCAACTCACTGGGTTTAGTC